CACAAAATACCCTGGTATCCTCGATCTTGTTCCTGTAAGAAAAAAATACGGAACAGGGCAGTAGGCATTACTATAACATGTACTAATATTAAAATCTACAAGTTATGTGTGGATATTTTGATCAGTAGTTTTTGATTAGTAGTTGAGTAAAATTGTGTCCATGAGTTATTTAACTCAATATATTGATAAGAAACTAAGGAAACAAATTAATGTAGTGGCAAGTTTAGTAAGAATTAATGTTAACCTACAGAGAGCTTCAAGTCATTGTCATTATTATAGAAATAATAATAGATAAAAATGTTTGTATTTGATATTGAAACTATATATTATTTATATTTATTTATAATTTATTTGATGCTACTGTCAGTAAATAATTATATAATGTTGAATGATTGGGTGATAATGACCAATGAACTGCAAAGGTTACAGAAAAAAGCCAAGCCCTAATTTAAGGTACTATCTTGGAATTTGCCTGGAAAGTCTGAGGATATTTAAGTGTCCTGGATGAGATTTAGACAAGATGCATTGTGAATACAAATCAAATGTTGCTGGTTCAGCCAACTTCATATATTTCTGTTAGACTAGTGCACTCATATGTTTTGAATATTTACTTCTGTATTGACTCAGCTTGCATCCTGATACAAAGTGAGAACAGTCAGTGAAATGCTGGCAAGTATAGGTTTGCCTGTAAATTCAATTATATCAGTTACTGATTGTCATCAGAGTAACAGTATAGGCACAGATGTGTTAAAAATATATTTTGTTTTATCTGTAGCAATGCAGTCACCATATACGACATATACGTACAAGTCTAGCACATAGACAGCCACTGGTTCCAATTGTCATTGAACAGACAGGAAGAGGAGAACGTGCATATGATATTTACTCACGTCTGCTCAAAGAGCGAATCATCTGTGTTATGGGACCGGTGAGTTCACCAGTAGTGTTTTCCTTAGGTTTCTTGTCCTTAAAATAGATATTTCTTATAACAGAGTTACTCCATGGAGCTGAACTCTTCTTAGGTAGCCACCAGTTGTGTCGTTACTCAAGAATTTCCCAACGTTTTATGGAACCTGAAGGTTCATTACTATGTTCACAAGAGCCCTCCACTGATCCCTATCCTGAGCCAGATCAATCCAGTCCATACCATCCCATTCTATCTCTAAGATCCATTTTAATATTGTCCACCCACCTATGCCTTGGTCTTCCCAGTGGTCTCTTTCCCTCTGGCTTTCCTACCAATATTCTGTATGCATTCCTCGCTTCCCCCCATTCGTGCTACATGCCCTGCCCACCTCATCCTCCTTGACTTGATCATTCTAATTATACTTGGAGAAGAGTACAAGTTATGAAGCTCCTCATTATGCAGTTTTCTTCAACCTCCTATCACTTCATCTCTCTTTGGTCCAAATATTCTCCTCAGCACCCTGTTCTCAAACACCCTCAGTCTATGTTCCTCCCTTAATGTCAGAGACCAAGTTTTGCATCCATACAAAACCACAGATGAAATTATTGTTCTGTATATTATAATTTTTACGTTTTTAGACAGCAGATGAGAATACAAAAGATTCCGGACCGAATGGTAGCAAGCATTACCTGAATTCAGTCTCCTCCTGAATCAAATTTTGATTGGTTATTGTAGTTCCCAAATTGTTGAACTGTGCGACATTTTCAAAGGATCTATTAGCTATGTTCTGGCCATGATTGTGCCCTGCATTCTGGTGATGAGATGACAATATATACGTAGTTTTCTCTGCCTTTACTTCTAGACAAACTCCTTACTAGCATCAATTAGAGTTTCTGTGCTTTTCTTTATGATATATGTGTGTAGAGTGACATCATCAGCATAGATCAGCAGATGTTGTGTCCCATTTAATTTCAGTCCCACCTTCTTTCTTTTCTGGACCTTCCTAATAGCACATTCTAAAGGAAAGTTGAAAAGAAATGGTGATAAAGCATCTCCTTGTTCTAGAGCGTATTGAAAAGGAAACATCAGATGAATGTTTACCTGTATGGATTCTGCTCTAGGTCTCATTTAAGCACATTTTAGTCAGCCTAACTAGTTTCAAGTTATCTGACATGGTTCTATAAAATTCTTCTGGGAGTTGAAGTGTTAGAAGTTAATTCTGGTAATGATCTCTACCTTTGTCTCATATAGTTTCATGTTAGGGAATCATGTAGTATTATAGTCCTGTACAGAACCAGAAATTTATTGCAGTATGTATGCATCGGGAATGGGAAAATATGCTATAAGCTGCAATAAGAAGGATAGAAATAAGCTTGATGTATGCCAGTACATATTCATCTTCTCTTGAGTCAGAGATGAATGAAGGCTTTGGAAATGTGAGTGTGAAATAATTTTTTTTTTAAATTTATTCTGTTGATCCATACTGGTACAACCATTGGATCTAGAAAAGTAAAAAATACAAGACAGTACAATATTAATAAATAATGATAAATAAATAAATAAATAAGACATGCAATCATTAAAAGATTTTGTTGAAAAAATAAAAATAATAAAACACTGTAAATACTGACACAATGATGTTACTATTACAATAAGAAATACTTGTCTAGTTTTATGCATAAAAAATTCACCCACAGTATAAAAAGAATGCTCATGCAAAAACTTTTTAAATGCTTTTTTAAAGCACAATATATTAACGCCTGCGTAGGCAGGACTTTTATGAAACATCGTCAAGTGAGTCATTACTTGAAAAAATTAAAATTATTCCTGGTATTAAAATTATGAATTTCAGAACTTTGTCTAAACTGATTTATTGGTAACTATAAACAGAGCCAAGGAGAGTATGTACTGAGATGCTTGAGGTAGTATATTTAAAATAAAAAAAAATTTGCAAGAATCCCTGGGTCTTGCTTCCATTAGCATTCTAACCATTCGCTTTTGGAGTTTGAAAATATTTGTACTGTGGGAAGAAGTGCCCCAGAAAATTAATCCAAATGTTATAACTGAATGAAAATAAGCAGGATAGATTGTCTTTAGGGAATTTAAAGATAAGAAAGGTCTGATTGATCTTGCAATATAACATGCTTTGTTTAATTTGGAAGCCAACATATCGGTGTGGCTCTTCGAAGACAGGGTATTGTGAAGTCCTAGCCCAAGAAACTTTAATTCAGTAGTATTGGCAATAATTTTGTTGTTATATTTAATTTGTATTTTTGAATTAATAATATCTTTAGAGTGGAATCCCATACAGTAGGTTTTGTCCGGATTTAGTGAGAGTAAATTTGCCTTAAACCATTTCATCACACTAGTGAAAACTGACTTCAGGTTATTTCCTAGTACAGTATTGTTTTGATTACTGACGATTACGCTACTATCATCTGCAAATAAAATTGTTTGGGGGTTTACTTTGACGTTCAGATATTTTATAGATAAAGGTAGGTCATTGATATATAGTAGGAAAAGTAATGGCCCCAGGCCAGATCCCTGGGGAACACCATGTTTGACGTGACCCCAATCTGATTCACTCTTATCAAAGGGTCCATTTTTAATTACCACCCTTTGATATCGGTTTTGGAGATATGATTTTAATAACACATATATGTTGTCAGTTATACCATAAAATTCAAGTGTATGTAAAAGTATTTTGTGATTTATGCAGTCAAAAGGCTTCTCCAAATCTAAGAAGATTCCACCTACTTTTTCTTTATTGTTAATAGCTGCTAAAACTGTATTTATTAAGATATATGAAAAACTGTTTCAGTGGATAATTTGGGGCGAAACCCAAATTGTTCATTGGCTAGAATGTCATAAGTGTGAACGTGTGCCAGTAATCTTCTATATATCATTTTTTCAAACACCTTGGAAAATGAAGTTAACAATGAAATTGGTCTATATTTTGCACAGTTCTTCTTGTCACCTTTCTTGTATGTAGGAGTTCCAATCGAGTATTTCATATGTAAGCCGGTCATGGTAGCCGAGCGGTCTAAAGCATGCACTGTCTTTGCTCGCTCGAAAGCCGGGATCGTGGGTTCGAATCCTACTCAGGGCATGGATGTTTGTGTGCGTTTTTCTGTGTTTGTCTACAGGTAGAGGCCTTGCGACAAGCTGATCACTTGCCCAAGGAGTCCTACCGTATGTGTAAGATCTAGAAAAACCGAAGTGAACAGAGTTCATGGAGGTAGGCCTAGGCACGCTGGGGCTGTAGCGCCAAGAAAAAAAAAATTTCATACATAAGGGTAGTTTACCAGTTATAAATGTATAATGAATGTATAAGGGGTGGGCCTTCTTGGCCCTTGCACTGCAACCACAGTGATTTACTGTGCCTCAATTTACCAACTAAGACTGCTTTATTGAATATATAGCATAAAGGGGAAGAAATGTATGGGGCACTAATTTTTCGTGTCTTCATACAAATCTCATATCCAGAAGAATTTTTTGAATGCAAAGAAGAGATAACTTTTTAAATTTCTTTAACTGTCATTTTATTGAATATTATATTGGGAAAGGGGCCCTTAGCTGTCAAGTTCAGATAATGTTTATAATTATTGTTGTTATGAGTATTTAATATGCTAGTCATACACAGCTTTAGATTTTCAGCAGGCCATGTGCGTGTGCTTGTTACTTTGAGACACCAATGCCTCTAGAATATAGTTTTCTCTCAGTTTTAATGTGTATTAATGCAGTGGAGTCTTATAGATCTCAGATGACCTGTCATCACTGGTAGTGGCACAGCTGCTGTTCCTGCAGTCAGAAAGCAGCAAGAAGCCTGTACACATGTATATTAATAGGTAAGTTGTTATGGATTCCAGAAGCCTACTGTGAGAGATGTACATTTGCATTGTAAAGACCAGTTGGTTATGGAAGTACTTGACATCTATTCTGAGAACTATGGAAATGAATAAATACACTCTGTAAGAAAAATACAGGATTTTTTAAAGTTAAAGCAAGTGGTGCATATAGTAACCACTGTGCTTTCAAGCGATAATGAAGTTTAATACTGGAAACTGCCCCATCATGACATAGTGTTGTCCTCTTGAAGATCTTCCTGCTTCACTGTTGTTGTGAGTATGGAATGCATTTATTCTTTGTTTAAGAGTACAACAGAAGGTGCAGTCCTGTAATTTATTTTGTTACACTTATAATTTGTCACCTCCAAAACTGATTCATCAAAGAATTTCACTCTGTAGTGCTGTAATCAGTGACAGGACTCTGTTCATATGGGGATCGGTCACTTTATATCTATCATGTATAAGTGGTTAGTCCATGTCAGCCAATAAAATGAATCTTGTGATAAAATTACACAATTATACCGGTTATTTTGTGATGACTTGATGACTGGTTATTTTTGTAGTAAAAAGGTTTGAATTAGTGAGAGTGTTGTTGCATTTCATGTAATGTTCGAAGTTTGTATAGGGCAGGTTCGCCCAGGGCAGTGGCAGAAGAAATCTTAAAATATAAGTTAGATTTAGCGTGAGTACAGGAGGTCAGATGGGATGGAGGTGGCATCGCACCAGCAGGAGACTATACATTTTTCTATGGAAAGGGGAATGACAATCATGAATTAGGTACAGGTTTTTTTGTACATAAAGGCGCATCCGCATTACTCGTGCTTGTGTGACTCGCTCTGCTTGCGAGTAATGTGGACGATATGACGAGCCACGAGACAAGCAAATTTTAAATTTTTAATTTAAAAACTATAGCCAATAAATTAAAATACGACTACAGCCTATACATACTGTGAGTAAATATATGGATCCTCACGTGCCGAAGCCTGGTGAGCAACTGAAGTAGTGTGGACGAAGATTTACGAGTGCAAGTAAAAGCCAGACGAGTCTCCCAACGAGCACGAGCATCAGTAATGTGAATGTGCCTTAAGAGAGTCATATCAGCAGTTAAGAAGGTAGAGTTCGTTAGTGATAGGATATTGTATATAATACTAAAAGGTTGCTGGTGTGATATCATTGTTATGAATGTTCACGCCCCAACAGAAGATAAAATTGATGACATAAAGGATAGATTCTATGAAGAACTAGAACATGTATTTGATAAATTCCTGAAGTACCCTATGAAAATTTTGTTAGGAGATTTCAATGCCATAGTAAGGAGGGAAAACATTTTGAAACCAACTATTGGGAATGAGAGTTTCCATGAAATTAGTAATGATAATGGAGTTAGAGTAGTAAACTTTGCCACATCAAAAAACCTTACTGTCAAAAGTACAATGTTCCCACATTGTAACATCCATAAATTTACCTGTATATCTCCTGATGGGAAGATACACAATCAGATCGACCATATTTTGATAGATAGGAGACGGCACTCAAAGTATACTTGATGTCCGATCACTCAGGGCAGCAGATTGTGATACTGACCACTACCTGCTGGTGGCAAAGGTTAGGGAAAGACAGGCAGTGAGCAAACAAACAACACACAGAGTTCATATGGAGAGGTTCATTCTCAAGAAATCAAGTGAGTTAGAGGGTAAAGAGCAGTATCGTGTTGAAATCACAAATAGGTTTGTGGCTTTGGAAAACTTGGAAACTGAAGTGGATGTTAATAAAACTTGGGAAACTATTAGAGAGAATACAAATATGTCTGCGAAAGAGAGTCTAGGTTAATATGAACCGAAGAAGCATAAGCTGTGGTTCAGTGAAGGATGCTCAGAATTACTAGACCACAGATAAGAAGCCAAATTGCAATGGTTACAGGATCCAAGCGAGTTAAATGGGGATAATCTGAACAATATAAGACGTGAAACCAGCTGGCATTTCAGGAAAAAAAAGAGGGAATATCTGAAAGACAAAATTGATGAGCTTGCAATGAACAGTAAGAACAAGAACATTAGAGACCTGTATAGAGGAATAAATGCCTTTAAGAGGGGTTACCAGCCTAGCAGTAACTTAGTGAAGGATGAGAATGGTGATCTGCTTGCAGATTCCGACAACATTTTGAATAGGTGGAGGAACTACTTCTCCCAGTTATTGAATGTACATAGGGTCAGTGATGTTAGGTAGGCAGAAATCCATACAGCTGAGCCGTTAGTACCTGATCCTAGCCCTTTTGAGGTTGAAAGTGCTATTGCAAAATTGAAATGGTATAAATCGCCAGGTAGTGATCAAATTCCGGCAGAACATACGTGTATTCAAGTAAGAGGTGAAATATTACATTCTAAGATCCACAATCTAATTACTTCTATTTGGAATAAGGAGAAATTGCCTGATCAGTGGAAGGAATCTATTATTGTACCATTTCACAAGAAGGGTGATAAAACGTGACTGTAGTAATTATCGAGGGATGTCACTGCTCTCAACTTCATACAAAATTTTATACAATATTCTTCTCTCAAGGTTAAGTCCATATATAGATGAAATTATTGGGATCATCAGTGTGGGTTTCAACATTAGAGATCAGATCTTTTGCATTCGTCAGATTCATCATCATCAGTAATCTGTCAGACAACAGGTCCACAGTCTTCCAAAACAGTTCCTCCACTTAAAGCGATCACAAACTTTCTCCTTCAAATAAAAATATGCTCTTCTGTCCCCAAGGTCATCCAGCATCTTCTTACGTCTTCTTCCTCGTCTTCTGGTCACTTCTATCCGCCCCTCCGGTTTGTTTTGTCTCCAGAAGAAACATCTCGCATACATGGTAGCTCAGTTTTTGGAAAGAGACTATCCAGGAAAAGTGATAATGTAGTTTTTCCATTTGCTTTCCACATCACAGTACAACAGCCATTCAAACCACTCTTGTCATGCCTGTTGCTATACGAACTTGAACCATCTCGAGCATCATTTGCTCTGTGCTTCAAGTCGCTCTGTGCTTCAAGTCGCTGGTGATGACGCTGCTTCTGGCATCAGCTTTTGGTGTTTGGTGTTCCTCTTCATCTGATGCCTACCCTTTGACCTGTCCAGCAAGGGAGGCCCTGCCAGTAGCTATGCTACCGCTGGTGTAGCTCTCAGGCTCCTTGACATACTCAAACCCCCTCACCACGATAAGGTGGAGACACCAACGAGAGGGATTCGTCAGATATTGGAGAAAAAAATGGGAGTACGATGAGACAGTACATCAGCTATTCATAGACTTCAAGAAAGCCTATGATTCAGTTAGGAGGGAAATATTGTACAATATTCTGATAGAGTTTGGGATACCCATGAAACTAGTTAGGTTGATTAAAATGTGTTTAAATGAAAGGTATAGTAAAGTCCGTGTAGGTAAAAATTTGTCTGATAAATTTCCTATCCAGAATGGTCTAAAACGAGATGCTTTATCGCCACTCCTTTTCAACTTTGCGTTAGAATATGGTATTAGGAAGGTCCAGGGAAACCAGATGGGACTGAAATTAAACGGGACACATCAGCTGTTGGCCTATGCCGATGATGTGAATCTACTGGATGATAATGTAGATACCATAAAGGGAAACACACATACTTTAATTGATGCAAGTAAAGAGGTTGGTCTGGAAGTAAACACTGAGAAAACTATGTATATGTTGCTGTCTCATCACCAAAATGCAGGGCAGAATCATGATATAAAGGTAGGAAACAGATGCTTTGAAAATGTGGCACAATTCAGGTATTTGAGAACAATGATAACAGATCAAAACCTGATTCAGGAGGAAATTAATAGGAGATTGAACTCAGGTAGTGCTTGCTACCATTCAGTCCAGAACCTTTTGTCTCCTCGTCTGCTGTCCAAAAACATAAAAATTAGAATATCAAAACTATAAGTATGCCTGTGGTTCTGTATGGGTGTGAAACTTGGTCTCTGACATTAAGGGAGGAACAGAGACTGAGGGTGTTTGAGAACAGGGTGTTGAGAAGAATATTTGGACCGAAGAGAGATGAAGTGACAGAAGGTTAGAGAAAACTGCATAATGAGGAGCTTCATAACTTGTACTCTTCTCCAAGTATAATTAGAATGATCAAGTCAAGGAGGATGAGGTGGGCAGGGCATGTAGCTCAAATGGGGGAGATTAGGAATGTGTATAGGATATTGGTGGGAAAGCCACAAGGAAAGAGAATACTGGGAAGACCAAGGCGTAGGTGGGTGGACAATATTAAAATGGATCTTAGAGAGATAGGATGGGATGGTATTGAATGGATTGATCTGGCTCAGGGACCAGTGAACAAGGTAATGAACCTTTGGGTTCCATAAAATGCTGGGAAATTCTTGAGTAGCTGCAGAATTGGCGGCTCCTCCAGAAGGGCTCAGCTCCATGAGTGAGTGAGTAAGTAAGTAAGTAAGTAAGTAAGTAAGTAAGTTGTTGCATTTCAGTTCCTTTATACAGGAGCACTAGTTATATGGTATGTAGAAATACTTTCTTTTGTTTCCTGTGTTAAAATATGTGTGGTAGCAGTTGTCAGGAAATATTGTAGGAACTGCTTTCTGGACTCTTACCTTGTAAAACCTTGTAGGTTATAATAACAGTCAGTGCTCAAAGAAAAGTATGGTTTGCAACTACATTTTTAGCATTGATCTAAATGTGTAAAAAATTTAATAAAGAAATGATTGGTATTTTATGTTAGGTTCAGAAAGGAAATTAAAGAATGTATTACTTTTGTTCTCTTATGTTAACATGTAACAATCTGATTAGGTTAAATGGCAGTTGTTACATGTAATGTTTTCTCTTGTTTGGAAAGAAAAAAAAAATCTAGTATATGTTAATGTATGGATTTATGATGGATATTTTACTACTTTTGTGAAATCCTTACTATTTATGTGAACTTGAATTGTGCATGTATATATGTATTGTATGATTTTTGACTAATTCCACATCCGGTAGGTCATCTGACTAACTCATGGATCTATGGAATGCTATGTATGTATGTATGTATGTATGTATGTATGATGGGATTTTGGATTTGTTGTTTTTGTAGCCCTGGAGGCAGTGTCACTGCAGGTCTGGGTATCTATGACACCATGCAGTACATCCTTCCCCCCATTGCAACATGGTGTGTTGGTCAGGCGTGCAGTATGGCAAGTTTGCTCTTGGCAGCTGGTGCACCTGGAATGAGACATGCCCTCCCTAATGCACGTATTATGATCCACCAGCCATCTGGTGGTGTACAGGTGATTATAGATTAGTAGCTCTGTTTACTAAGGTTGGCCAATTAAAATCAGTTCCTCACTTTCTTGAAGACACATTTTTTGGCCAAGTAAAATATTGATCATAATGCTTGTGAATTACTGCATGCATTTTCTGAGTATGTCAGCTGGCAGCGAGTGACTAACAGGCCTGATGTACTGAGTATGTCAGATGGCACTGAGGTTTTGTGACAATGCCGAGAGTTTGGATTTTCTATTTGAAATCAGAAATAGTACTGAAAAAAGTAATACAGCTGTGTTTATGCTTTTCTAGAACCATATTTATCGCAATTAATTATGAACATATTGTGTAGGTAATGATTGATATATTTAAATGTAAAGAACAGAAAGTTAGAAACTACACCCACATGTACACCAAATTCTGTTTCTAATCCATCTGTTTAGGAGTAAATGGAATCGGTGAGTCTTTTAATGTATTCTGTAACATTTGCTTCTGCTCCTGATCCCTTTTTAAAATGTCTTTATGATCTAAAAGAGATTTCATTCTTCAGAATTATATTTGTAGTGTTTTGTAGACTTGATGGTATGGCACTGCATTTAAACTTCATGTTTCATTTTACCAGTATTTGTTTGCATGACAAATCTGGTATGCACTGGACAGAAGTTAATTGTTTAGAAATGAGAGGCATGAAATGAAATACATATGTTTTGTTAACAGGGCCAAGCAACAGACATCCAGATACAGGCTGAGGAGATCATAAAGCTCAAGCGACAGATCAACGGTCTGTATGTGAAACACACAGGGTTGCCACTTGAGAGAATAGGTTTGTGACATTTCACACTATTTCCTTAAGCATGGAAAATAGAATTGGAAAAAAAAAGTAAGGACACTATTTTATTTAGGTTACTCCTAATGCTGAAAAAACTGATACATGGTAATGAACATTTGGGTGGCATAAAAGCAGAGTATATCACAATGAGCAAAATAAATGTAAGCTTTAAAAGCTAGAGAGTATACTGTGGAGTTGGTTAGTTGACATAAATTGATTGAGCATAGCATTCAAATATCTGTCACCTGCCTTGGGTTCTTCTGTAAACAGTCTGTGCATACATGATGTCGGGGTCATCTGATAAAGTATTCACATTAATATGTAAAATAAACAGAAGCTGTATATATGCTGTGATATGCAACAACTTGTTTCATGAGCACACGTATCCAGTGAATTTGTTGACTGTATTTTGGACTTAAATGTATTTATCAACTGTTGACACTTTAGGTTTGTCCAGTTGCAGTCATGATTATAAGTTAATTATTCATATTGCAGTGATCAAGACATGTTGCCTAGAAATAGAGTACGATGCCACAGTCAGAAACAGAGTCATATCTCACAATTATGTTTGTCAGAAAATCATGCATATTTAAGGCAACTGACAAGTAAAATTGTATATATAATCACGGTTATAAATAGGCCACTATTATGCATACCAGTTTAATAAATGTGCTACTGATCAGACCACATTCTCTTCTGATATTTTAGTAGTAGTCTCCATTTTACAAGTCATCTTCGCTTGAGAACATTTAACGAATGTTTTGTACGCATTTCTTGCTTCCCCCATTATTGCTACATGTCCGTCCTATCTCATCCTTCTTTATTTAATTAACGCTTAACAGTATTAAGTGAAGAATACAAATTGTGAAGCCTCTCTTCCTGTTGTTCACTCTCCCATTGTACAAAATGTGTACAGGGTGTATAAAAATTGTATTGCTACAAATACAACATTTATATGGGACTATTATGTTTTCCACTAATTTCCATTTCAGCAGATTTTCATTTTAAGAAATAAATGTTTGAGATCCTCTTAAAATTTAACTTTAATGATATTTCAGTGTTATAATAAAAAACTTTACTCAAGTTAAACTGTATCTAATGATATCACTGTAGGCCTATATAGTGTTGCAATTGGTTTGTTTCAATTTTGTGTTTGCAGAATCTAGCATGGAGAGGGACAAATTCATGTCACCAGTTGATGCAAAAGAGTTTGGCATCATAGACAAGATACTGGACCACCCACCCAAACATGGAGAAAAGGTTGAGAGCAGTGAGCAGTGTACTGTGGCAGGCAACTAGGCACAAAACAAGACACAGTGAATTGAAAATGATCTTATGTTTCACTTTATTAAATGATTCCAAAATTTAAGCTTGCTGACCTATATATATTTTTATTCCATCTGATGTGTCTGTATTCTTTATTTCTTGTAGATTTCCAAATGAATTTATGTTGCTATGGGAGAAATGTGTACAATCTTTGTTAAGATCTTAATAACTTAATTAGGGCATATTCTCTCTCCTTCATAATACTTCAAAACTAGTCAGATACATATAGAATTGTGGGCATGAAAATTAAAGAAAGGAGATTTATTTTACTATAGGATTCCGACGATGGTGTATAACACACTGATATGTTGGGATTTTGGACTTTATCCATCGTCCTGGTTTTTAAGATAACCAATAAAAACACGACGTTTCGGAAACTGGATCTGTTTCCATCCTCAGGTGAAGGAAAACACCTATTCTGTTGGGTCCCTTAGAAAGAGCTAGCCTCAATCACTGGACCAGTGGCAAGTAACACGAATGAGTGTCAAGTGCTGATGTTCTGTGTTGGTTTCGAATCACCACAATGTCAAGTAGGTACAAATTTATATTTTTAAATTGCATATTTATTACAAAACATACTTTATTCTTTAATAGGCAGTTACACTTGAATATGCGAACAAAACGGAATGTTTTATCAACATACGATGGTCGTACTGAAAGTCATGAGCAACAGTTTTTTGTAAACTAACATGCTTTATTGTTGACAAACCAAATACACCACCTCAATCTACAGACCTTTCTTTATTTTTCCACATAATTGCCACGTCTTTGTACACATTTCTTCCAGTGTTCTGGGAGTTTGAAAATTCCCCTTCTGTAAAATTCCGTTTCAGCCATCCGAAGACACTGACACACTGCTTTCTGAATTGCCTCCCTTGTCTCAAAACGTTGTCCACACAGCTGATCCTTCACAAATCCGAAAAGATGGTAGTCAGGGGTGCCAGATCAGGGCTATAGGAGGGGTGTGGAAGAACTTCCCACCCCATCTTTGCAATTGCTTCCAATGTGAGGCGAGCGGCGTGGGGGCAAGCGTTGTCATGCAGGATGATTATGTTTCATCCTGGACGTTTATTGCGCAATGCACGATGGAGCTTGTGCAGTGTCTGGACATAAGCAGCATTGATGGTTTGCCTAGGTTCCAGAAATTCAGCCAGAATAAACCCCTCTGCATCCCAGAAGACAGTGCCATCACCTTCGCAGCTGATGGCACTGTCTTTGCCTTCTTTTTGATGGGAAATGCAAATGGTGCCATTCCATACTCTGCCGTTTCGTTTCAGGCTCAAAATGGTGAAACCAGCTTTTCGTCACCTGTCACAATACAGAGCAAGAAATCATTGCCTTCATGTTGATATCTCTGCAGCAGTTCTGATGTGATGGCATTTCACTGACCTTTGTGGTCTTTGGTCAATAACTGCGGGACCCAGCGAGCACAAACTTTCCTATAGCCCAAGCTTTCAATCATCCTCTGTACTGCACTGTGGCCTATTCCAAGTTTTCAGGCTATTGTGTCCACAGTCACACGCCTGTCATCTTGAATGATCTCATCCACTCTTTCCTTGTTGCGTTCAGTTGAGGCTGTTTGAGGACGAATGCTCCGAGGCCATCTTCGATGCTGGTGTTCCAATCTTTCAAATGTTTCACCCATTTTCGAACACTGCTCGCACCCATGCACACACTTCCATAAGCACGCTGATGTCTCTGGTGAATTTCTGCAGCAGGGATTTCCTCTTTCACAAGAAATTCGATGACAGCATGCTGGCAAAAGGACATATTGTTGTTGGTCATTTTGTTAGGAGTGATAGTGGTCATGTGATTGACATCACAAGACACTCAAGGTTAACACAACAGCTGGTTCCACCTACCACCTGCTGTTCCCAGGTTGCATGCAAAAAAAGTTGCTCATGACTTTTGGTACGACCTATATATATATAACTTCTTCAAAAACAGGTTGTCCAGATATATCAGGGCAATCTCTGCCAGAACTGATATGTGAATATTCAGAATTTGTCTTGTAGCCTGGGGTAACTCGGTATAGCAACTGGGCCATGGGCTAAATGATTGGGGTTCAAATTCCAGCAAGGGAATGAGAACTTTCTCTTCTCTGTAGCACACAGACTGACTCAGGAGCCCACCCAACCTCCTTTTGATTGGGCACTGGAGGCTTTATCCATGGGGTAAAACGGCAGGAGCATGAAGCTGGCCAGTCACTTCCATCTAGTGCTGAGGTTAAGAATAGTGGAGCTGTACCTTCACACCCCATGTGTCTTCATGGCATAATGTTTAATTATGTAATCAAACAGTTATAACCAGGGCCCGGATTTTTATGACATGTCATATTTTATTCCTTGTATCCTATGTGATGCTCTTAAGTATATAAATCTCGGATATGAGCTTCTGGTTACATAAATGTAAATTTTATAGGTAATTTTTTTATAATTTTTTGACATTTTTAGATATAAGGTCATTTTTCCATTTTGGGGGTAATTTTTTGGTAAATTTTTGGACTTTTAAGGGTATTTCTTGTCATTTATGGCCATTTTAGGGAATTTTTCTTCATATGTTTTCTGAAATTTGGAAAATCTTTTATTGGTTTGGATCAGATGCCTGGTGATAGTGTCTGAAATTTGATTTCTTTCATTTTGGTCCATCACACTAACAGTTACAATTATAAAACACAAGTCCATCCAATGTGACTATTTCAGTTTTCTCACTTGATGATTCACTAGCCTTACATGTTTTGATCCATTTGGATGATCTTCAGAGGCACCAAACACTTTTTTGAAACCACTGTCACAACAGTTAATCAAGTACACATGTAATGTCCAAGTACACAATGTTCCATCTATCAGTCACAGCAGCCTTTCTGCTTATAGAAATATTTAAAGTTGTTTTAAAATTTTAAAAACTTCGTTAAAATTAAAATTCATAAACCATACGGTTCATGTCAATAACCTCTGTCGTCTCTCTTCAAGGTGGCCGATGTTGTGCCACCTATGTAACTTGAGTAGGGAGATTCTTAATATTGTCCGTTATGATTTCTTGGCCCGCTGTGACTGATAGATGGAACGTTGTGTACCTGGACATTACATGTGTATTTGATTGACAACTGTTGTGATAGTGGTTTCAAAAAAGTGTTTGGTGCCTCTGAAGATGATCCAAATGGATCAAAACATGTAAGGCTAGTGAATCATCAAGTGAGAAAACTGAAATAGTCACATTGGACGGACTTGTGTTTTATAATTTTCTGAAATTATTATGCAGGGCGTTTCAAAAAGAGCTTTACAACTTTGAAAGCTTATATCAATTTATACAGAGGACATACACAACATTTTGAATTGTCATAATGTAGCAAAACACACCGAGTTTCATGCATGTGGTACTGTAATACCCAATACCGCCACCGCGAGTGCTCCCGCAGTTGAAATCAAGATGACTACTTTCACAGGTGCAGAGCATGCTCATTGTGTGTTTTGGTTCGAAGAAACGAAGTCTGCTACACAAGTTCGAAGGAAATTTCACACGCAGTATCGCAAGGATCTTACTCCCCTGGATTTTTTCTTATGGGGATTCATTAAAGATCGAGTGTTCGTACCACCTTTGCCTGCAAATGTCGTTGAGCTCTGAACTCGAATTACTGCCTCAGTTGCAGAAGTGATGCCACAGATGCTATGTAGCGTGTGGCAAGAGACTATAGGTGGGACGTCTGCTGCATTACCAGTGGAAGTCGCATTGAACCCTAACTATCCAAGGTTAACGCGGTGTGTTTTGCTACATTATGACAGTTCCAAACGTTGTGTATGTCCTCTGTATAAATTTATATAAGATTTCAAAGTTGTAAAGATCTTTTTGAAACACACTGTATATGAGAAGGCTAGACATCTGTATAGTGCCATTACAAAGGATACCCGTGGTTCCTCTCCAAAGAACTACAACTGTCAACTAGTGGATTCCAGATGGAAGAAGGGTAATTCACCTTCCAGTGAACAGTAATATTCCTCCTACTGTTAATACTGATTGATTATTATAGAGTATTTTTATGTATGTACTCGTACCATTATAAATAAAAACATTCAATTGTTGAATTTAAATATACTTGTTCTATCATTATTTACTAATATGAGCTTTTGAAATAGGCACGTAATAAGTTTGGGGCATGCGGTAGCATAGTTGGTTCAGGGGCTGTTCTACAAGCTGGAAGGTTGCGGGTTCAAGTCCCGATGAGGTCATTTGATTTTTTTCAATTGACCTAATCCTTCAAGCTGCACTGTGGCCCTCGGGTCAGTTCAGCCTCTAACAGAAATGAGTACCAGGAATTAATTAAATAATTTTCCTGGGGAGTAAAGCGTGGCCGGCGCGTAAGGCTGACAGTCTTACCACCATCTTTGAGCCGATTGTCTAGATAATGTGGGACTCACAATATCTCAAAACCCCATGGGCTTTCACGGCCTGGTACAGGGAAAGCTTTACTTTTTATATACTTCTTTACGTAATATGTTTTATATTGGGTCAATTTTGGTGGTCTGGAATGAATTAATTCAATTTACATTATTTAAAATGGGGAAATTTAGCTTGAAAGTCAAATTGCCTTCTGGAATGGGTTGTGTTCGAGGTTCCACTGTATTTCAAAACTCCTGTGTCCATTACTGTGTCCATTGGAGTATTTTATTGAAATGAATAATTTCATATCATAGATTTTCAGTACTGTTACCACTGTTTTCACATAATTTATTTTTATATTTTTGTAGCCATGGTTATGTTTTTGAGGTACATTTAATTGCACAACATCCGTTAAGGTAAGTTTGTATGTCCAGAATATTTGCTACTGCCTACCCAACAATGATGTGTGAAATAAAAATATTCGTTGAAAATGTTCTCATGTCAGTGTTATATAATGATGTGAGCTATGCCACTGGTGCTGGATGTTCCTTAGCTTGTAATGATTTTAAATCATGATTTAAATTACGGTGTACAGAATTAATGCCAATAATGAGTATGTGTAATTGACGTTATTCATGTTAAAAGTAGAGAACATTGGTACAATCACTGAAGACGATCCACACAGAGATACTGGGTTTTCGGACTTTGTCCAACGTCCGGATTCTAAATAACTAAGAAGAAAAAAAAAGTTTCGGAAACTGGATCTGTTTTGGTCCTCAGGTGAGGGAAGACACCTACTCTGTTGGGTGTCATGGACTTAGCGTGGTCTCAGGTGTTTATAGCCTTAGTGTTTTGTGACATCAGTTGTCTAGTGATTGAGGCTAGCTCTTTCTAAGGGACCCAACAGAGGAGATGTCTTCCCTCACCTGAGGACGGAAACAGATCCAGTTTCCGAATGTTCTGTTTTTTCCCTTAGTTATTTAGAATCCGGACGATGGACGAAGTCCGAAAACCCAGTATCTCTGTGTGTTATACAACATCGTCAGAACCCTATGGTATCTACTGAAGACGATGTATCGGAAAGGTAATAAATTGATTCTGAAAATATGCTCAGCGAAACTGACAGCAGAAAAACTTAATGACTGATGCATAAATGTCGCCGATAGCGTTAGCCTTGAACGAATTTCGTACCTAGCTTACACTGATGATTTATTTTGACCATTGTCCACTGTCTTAGGTATATTTAAATTATACGATGTTTCGGAAGCTGGATGTGTTTCCGTTATCAGGTGTAATAGGAGGAAAGGATCTTATGAAGTTGTGCTCACTTATGTAATAAGTTAGGAAGGTCAGAATAGCGTATTTTAGTATTCTTTCGATGCTGTTGTAGTGTTCAGTTGGCCGAGGGTCACGATTGCTGTCACTGGTAGAGAATTTTCACGCTAATCCATACTCTACAAAAGCTTCTCTTCTAGGGGGTTACCACATGCTCAGTATAAACTATATTTGCCCTTATCAAACTGTCAATATCTTCTAAGATGTTTGCCAACTGCTTCTTGTTGGTTTCTTGCATGGCTGTTCTTCGACCCTGATGATGGAGGCAGCACGTTCCTCCGAAACTTCGGTAAGCGTACATCGGACTACACCGCGTTGCATCCCAGAATACAGCACTCTTTTATAATGCTGTGAGAACCTCAAATCTAACATACCGTGGCATCTTTTAACCTTCAATATCCATACTGCGGGGAAAGTAACGCTAAAGTTGACCCTTTGCTTAACTAAATAAGCACTATGCCATGAAGGTTATGGAAGAGTGGATGTATAGATCCACATTTTCTTGACCTCTGCACTAGTTGGAGGTGAATGGTTAGCTTCACGCCCCGGCCGCTTTACCCAAGGGGAAAGAGCCCCCGGTACCCATTCCATAGGAGGCTGGGTGGGCCCCAGAGCAGGTCTGGACGAAGTGGAGAAGAGATAAATCTTGACCCTACTGGGAATCGAACTCCGACCCCTCGATCGTCCGGCCCGTAGCAAGTTGCTATACCGATTGAGCTATCCCAGTTCACACTACTGGGAATAAAACTTTGAAAATAATTTTTTTTTGCAAGAATGATTCTCTTTCTCGGTGCCCGATCGGTGTTGGAAAAGGGTATGTGGGATGAACAGTGACCTTTGGCTATGCGTGTGTCTTCTTACACTGAATGTCCTTCTTCAAAGATGTAAATAAGGAGAAGTTTGGTATGAAAGCATAGCATGAAGGCAGGAATACACAACTGCCGATTTAACGGCACATTCACAAGTGAAAGGAGAGACTATAAACCGTAGGTTAGAGTGATTTGCCTTCCCTTCATATTTATTTGCATCAGACGAAATAGGAGATATTTAATACAGTTTATCTTAGGAGCGTAAGTGTGTTTCTAGCTTAATGGAGAGAGAATTTCTGCCTCTGTATGTGGTGCACAAAGAATGTACTACACGTAAAGTATATCTTCAAGATGCCTGTCAAATGTTTACGTACGGTAGCAGGTCTCTGCGTTCTCACTTTATTTGATTTCTTGAGTATAATAAACGAATGTCCACTATAGCACTCTGAAATCAGAAACTCGGGAGTTCATTAGGCGGACCACAGCAAACCGTGAAACATAAATTCATAATGCTTTTGTGCTTATTTGTATCAGAAAGTCATAACCTGAATTGCACTTAACGGCAAGTAATGTTCCTTTCTCTCAAACCGAGCTGACAAGTTCCTACATAAACATGCTGTATCAAGTGATGGACAAATACAGATGTTTTTAGTAAACTTAACGCTTTCACAGCCCTGTCCTTCCCGGGGACCGGAGCGCCGCTTGCTGCGGAGCGTAAGCGAATACTGCCCATCCTGCTGATAACATTTGGAATGAAGAGGTCTTACCTGGTCTTACCTTTGTTCACAGATCACAGGGGGCGTTGAAAACGTCGTCGCTCTACACGTAAATATCTTTCGCAATTAACTGTTTCGTTAAAAAAAAAGCGCACACGTACAACAATCCTGCTTACACTAACAGCACACCAGACGCCACCTTTCACACTGGATGGCTTCAGCAATTGTGCTGCCCTTCTTGCATTAGGCTTTGATGCTCGAGTCTCTTAAGTCTCTTGAGCTAGACGTTTCAGTGATTTACTCGGTGGATGTTCCAGGCTTGCCGCTATGTCATCTCACTTCTCGGTAAGCATTCGGCGCTAATGTTCTTTTTCTTGTCTATTAAGGGTCCCGTTGTTCCACATTGTAAATTGTTTGTCTGGTGGGAACTCTTTCACCACTAAATTTACGTCAAAATTTTCGCCAACACATTCTATCAGATCCGTATTTCAGATAGGTGTCATACAGAAATACACGTTGCTCTGAAGTATCGCGAACCATGTCATACCACATCGCTGACTCTTAACTGGGAACAAATGGCTCATGGCGGTGTTAACTGCTGCCTACTGCTTACAAATCATAAACTTCCATGCAGGAACATAATACTATGTAGGGGTCTATATGTTAATTCTTTTCGTTCATTCCAAACACTGTCGGCCATCAAGCATGCGGAGTCAACGCCAAAACTCACATGCGTCCCGCAGCACGCAGCACACCGGTCACAGCGAAGCGTGGAGCTGTGAACTTGTCAACCCGATTAAAATTCTCCCTGTATTCATTTGATTCCAGCAGCTAAATCCGTATGCACTGGATATTCATAAAACACATCAATGATGCAATTTAATATTATATACGTAATTAATCTGGTATCTCAGGTGCTTCTGTTAGTCTTAGAGGACATTGTGGATTTTATTCAAAGCCAGAAATGCTGGGTATCCTTGGTTAGTATTCCTGCTTCATGTTCAATCCCAGGCCGAGAGGGCGGTTATTCTGAAAGGCGTTTCTTCACTTCCATCATGAATAAAATTACCCGAGATGACGCCATTTTCAGAGTGGGAAATTGTAAAGATAAAATTATCTATGTCAAATACAACTCCCCCCCCCCCTCTTCATAATGGCTTCTTCAAGTCCATAAAATGTTATTAATTGTTCTTTGCCTCTCCTTCATTGCTGCACAGTGGCCTCCCAAATATTTCAGACATGTTATAAATTTATAAGTCTCCTTGATTACCTGATAACTATTCACTAAAACTAGCATCATATGCAGTTCTTGAAACTCAAGTAATAAGCATATCAAATATCTCTTGCTTACATGTGATCTTTATCAAGTCATATAATTTATTACGCTTTTGTCTACTAATACCATCCAAAGTGTACTCTTTAATATACCACGTCTTCAGCCTACTTTCTTTCTCAGGGATAACAGGAGGAGTGCTTATGAGATCGCCGGACTTCTGTTATCTGCCCCTTCTCAGTTTCTAAACAAACTGACAAATTTTCACCGTGTTTTTAAGTCTGCGGCGTACAGTGTTGGAACAACGGTTCGCTACTCTACCTAAATGCACAACAATAGCGACGCGACGTTACGGTTGCCTGACTTAGTAAATGAAGTTGCAGTGTTTGTTTCGAAATCGAAGTAACTGTATAACTACAGCGTGAGAAAGAAACCAGTCTCTGCAGAGTTTAAGAATGCTGTCTGAGGTGTTTGTCATGAACGCGAAGTTTCTTTCCGGGTGAGAATTAATTTCATTTGTTCTGAGTTATGATCAGAAGAGCACCATGTTCTGGGACGTTTCTACGAAACGTCGGTAATATTTTACCAGAAGATAGTACTCTTCATTGCACTGACGTGAGAATCCCAAATCTCGCATTATAAATAAAGTATGAGCTTTGCCTTCTTAGTTTTTCACACATAAAATTTAAATTTCGTTTATAATTTTTGTACGTATGTACACACTAGAAATCTGTGTAAAATTATATTTCGAGTAATGGGAATAACTGCCTATTTGTAGGTCGCACAGTGAGATGCGCACAGACTCTTCCACAGTCACTTTACATGAAGATAATTTGGAATTTTATTTCGTTGCGGCACTATATATGTAGACCTCAATTTACACGTACAGTTTTTCAAATAGCAGACTTGTTCACGGTTATGCTCTGTATATGTTTTAATGCAATGTAATTATATTACAGAACTTGAAAGTTGATTATCTGTTATTGAGCTGCATCAACTGCTGAAGCTATGACACGTCGTACATTGCCACTGATAAATCGTACGCATATGTAATCATATACAATGCAATTAAATGGATGGAAAATTTAACATAATAAAGTGTAAAATATTATAAAGTAACAAAATTGTGTATACGTGCAGTATAGTATTTTTCCCACACATTTGAACGCACTGCCATGCGTCGTCGTTATATTCCCATATAGAGGTTAACATTCTGGCTTGTGAAGGTGGCAATGTGCGAGGTGGGGGCAGACTCATGCTAAGTAATCGCGTCCGGTGTCAGCTATGGACATGGTAAGACGACGGGCTGGGAGGGACGGGATCTAAGGGGGAAGGACCTTCCCTTGTCTTTTTTTAGTCGTGTTCTATTGCACTGCTTCTGTGGCTGGCTGCTGCCTACCGTCTGCGTGGCGGTGAGTCAGTTGTCAGCCGGTTCGTCGAGACAATAAGTGAATGCTGTTATGTAGTAGCCTAGTTTTATTCTCCATCTTGACCATGTTGTTCTAAACAAAGGGTTCAACATGATGGTACTATCAGACTTGCCGTGGGTGCGCCCATCCTCTGCCCATTCGGAGTACCAGCAGGACGACTACTCAATGAGAGGTGAGTAAAAGGTCAAATCTCCCCTCCCCCTACTTCTTGTCAAAGAAAGAAAAGTAGCAGATTATGCATTAACAAGACACTGGAAACCTCAACATGTATGGCACATTATCGACCGTTGGATGGTATATGTGGACATCATATGCACTTTGCAACTCCGATTACTACATAGCTGCTCGTAATTGCATACAGACAGAAACCGTAGAGTTGCAATGCCACCGCTTTGTATTCATTTGAGACTGCAACAAGGGATGGTGATGCCCTTGTAACGTGTGTGTAGGTGTTGCCATATGTACTCGTTCTATCATGGTTTTATAAGGGCAGTACGTTACGCATTATATGTTTTTTCTTCAGAATTTATATATGCTGTGCATCGTCGCTAGAATAAAGGGGAGGATTAGTTTTTCATGTATCGACGGAAAGGTGGCACGGACTGAAAATAAATGGCCGCAAATAAGTATTGCAATTTGCAGCTTTATCGTCATATGTACAAATATAGCTGGCAGAACGTGAGGTTCATTGCATAGAACTGAATACAGCTTGGAAAATCCGCTGAACTTCAAGTGTTAGGCTGGAAAATTGCACAATTGACTAATATTGTTAGGTAACTTGTAAGCAATTTGAACTGAGAAGAGTTGGAGGCACTGTGTGCAGTGTAAGTTCCCCATTAGTTTTGAATATTCAGTTCACAGTTTTATTTCCATGCTATTAACTGAATATTGTGGCTCCAAACACGCATTTTGTTGCACTATTGTACAGTTTCTGATTTTGTGTAGGGAATAAGCCGTTACTGGTATGCATCATTTCATATGGTTATGATCTGTAATGTGAGGATTTGTAGTTGAAGCCATTGAAAGTGTTATGCAAACCAGTAAATTTTGGACACTTAATTTATACATGCATCTATTTAAAAACTAGTATGAAAATACAGTAGTTCATGAATACAAAATGTTAGGTTGGATGGGGTATGATCAGAACCCAGTTCTTAAAGGGAACATGTTATGTAAATGTAACCCCGTTTCCTGACAGAAAGATCAATTGCTGAGGTAGAAAATCCTCCTTGAGAAAATTTCATTAAGACTTTGCTTTTGATTTTAAGATATTCAGAATTTGGGTGCTGTCTTTCCTCATGTAAAACAATGTGTCATGTTGAACATCACTATGGTTTCTTTTGTGGAATATGACCACTTTTCACAAACGTAGTTTCTACAGTAGTATTGTGCAAACAGTATAGAAAGAAAGAGCATGATGTTTGTAACATTAAATATGAAAACAATTCTGATTTTAATGCATAACTTAAGTTATTGAGTGTTCTAATTGCTTGTGATTTTTTTTTCATCTGCAAGGTCATATTACTATCTTATAAGAAAGAAGCTGGCTACTGTATATACATCATCATCATCAGTAATCTGTCAAGACGACAGGTCCACAGTCTCTTTCAAAACAATTCCTCCACTTAATGCGATCTAGAGCTTTCTCCTTCAAATGACAGTATCCTCTTCTGTCCCCAAGGTCATCCAGCATCTTCTTACGTCTTCTTCNATATATATGAGAACAGTTCTGTTCCAACTAAATTCATTTTTTTATTAAAAAATTAATGTTAGCAGTACTTAGTTCATATTTATCATCTGTTTGGTTTTGTTTAGTTCTGGACAACCAAGTTCATTGTGTAAGCAATATATATTAGGTCCTGCATGCTCATAGACTGGTTGTTATGACTAAGGAATGTGGTTTTATTCAGAACATCCTGGCAGATGCCGGGGTAGAACAGACAGTGCTAGAAATTAGGCCATGACTGCCTCCCTTCACTTCCATTTTTATTCACTAATATCTTACCACTCAATGCTTTGTAGACTGAGTTGATGGCAGTATTGTTAAATAAACCATAAATAAATAGGGGCACGCTAGTGTAGTTGGTTGAGGCACTATGTTACAAGCTGGAAGGTCGCTGGTTTGAGTCTTGATGAGGTGGATTTTCTTTTTAATTGACCTAATCCTTCCAGCTGCACTATGGCCCTGGGGTCAACTCAGCCTCTAACAGAAATGAGTACCAGGAATCTTCCTGTGGGATAAAGGGTGGCCGGTGTGTAAGGCTGACAACCTTACGACCATCTGAGTCAACTGTTTAGATTATGTGGGACCCTTGACATCTCACAGCCCTATTGGCCTCCATGGCCTGTTACAAGGATAGCTTAACCTTTTTTACCTTTACAAACATATGTACATATATATATTTCACATTTCACAAATCCGGAATACAATGGACATGAAACTGGTCATAAGCATAACACTAACAAAGCAGAAAGACAGTACAAAGCTAAACAAACACTAACTAATTATTTACTGTATGCTCCAAAAATTCATCAACTGTATAAAATGAGTTAATTCATGATATATGAAAATAAATTATTTTTAAAACTGATTCTATCCTTTCTGAGACTTTGAATGGTCTTAGACAGTCTATTAAATAACCTAATACCAGGAAACATAGTGCCCTTCTGGAAAACAGAAAGGTTTGAAGTTGCAACTTAAATTTGATTTGTGCTTCTAGTGTTCAGGCCATGAACCTCTGAAACTGAACATACATTATTTTGATTATCAAAGAAACAACATCAAAGAAAAAATATAATCACATGACAGTGGTAAAATATCTAATTTCTTAAAAAGACTTCTACATGAGTCTCTGGGCCCCACTCCCAATATGATCCTTATTACTTTCTTTTGTAATTTAAAAACTCTAGAATTATTAGTCGAATTGCCCCAAAGGACTATTCCATACCTAATGATAGAATGAAAGTAAGAAAAATACACAA